TGGGTGTCATGTGTATGTGAACTTGTATATTTTTAAACGAACACACGACACAGGAGATAATCCTAGTGTAAGGCAACGTTTTATTTAAAATAAATGATATTCAAAAAAGAATTTCTTACAAAAATAAAAATGAATTTTCACCGATCTCTTTCGAAAATAAAATCGTGAGCAAGCATTTTGCGAAAAATTTCTCCTCCTTATCATTGCGTTGCATGATGCATGCTTATGACTTACGTTAACGGTATGCAGGAGAGAAAGTTGTCTCAAAAATTCTACCCGGTATCCGAACCTGAGTCTACAGTGAAATTTCGTACAAAACACAAAAAGTGAATTAAATGATGCATTCTTCATGCCGTGCAATGCAAAAATGTCGTGGTGGCCCGGAGGTTTAAGACGCCCGCTTCTCATGCATGAGGGTGCGGGTTCGAAACCTACCAACGGCAAGTACCAATGTGACTTTTTCCGAGTTATATATACTTTCTAAGATTATTCAGACACCACTGACAAACGGTGAAGGAAAACATCGTGAGGAAATCTGGGCTTATAATTTCTAATTATAAGTTTGTAATCGCCAACCCGCATTGAGCAAGCGTGCTATTAATGCTTAAACCTTCTCCGTGTGAGAAGAGGCTTTGCTCGGCAGTGGGCATTTATAGGTTGTTGATGATGATGATGATGATTCTTCATGACACTATAGAGCGCCTAGCTTAACTTATAGACAGACGGACGGACAATACGGTAGTTTCCTAAATTTTATTTTAATGTCCGTCTGATACATTAATTTAAAACTTTAGACACGTATTTTTTCTTTTCTCACAAAATTAAATACTTTCGACGATATATTAATTTAAAATATCGTGTGACGTCACAGCGTGTCACATTTTGTAGCACGTTATGACGTAACGACCTCCCACTCCTAAACTTAGCGCCATTTTATCTAAGTATTGCAACTTAATACGAGAAAACAAAAAAATACGTGTGTGATATTTTTTCATTATCTAACTGACGGACTAATTAGATTTTTAATTTTGATACTCTGGAAACTACCCAATTCAATTTTTCACGTTTCTTATTACGGATTTGTGGCGACATAATATATAATACATGTCAAGTGATAGCTAACACACATAGACCATCGATGACAACAAAATCAACTGCTGACGTCATAAAATGCTACATCGCACATGTGAAGTTTACATGCGAATTAACACGGATAGAAAATCCCTACAAATTGATGTTAGTAAAAAAACTTAAGCCTATGTTAGTAGGAACTCACTATGCATATTATGCCCTTCAAACCATAACAGATATCATATTTTAACTTTAATCAAACGACAACAAGAAAGACGGACATAATTATGTATGCAGGTCCCCCCCAAAGACTTCATGCCCTCTGAAACACAACAGAGGTCATAGACACGTCAACTTTCAACAATCAACAAAATAAAGAAAGAAAATCTCACACATTTTCGAATTAATGTACATTTCGTAGATATTACATATGTACTTACATACGTACAAACATACTATGTTGACATTTATATCAAGTAGAGCGAATAGTATTTACTTTTGACTTCAAACAGTGAAAGTTTAGAAAATGCTTTACAAATTGAATTATCTCTGTGCAGTCAACGCAACTCCACCGTACTTTCCTTGTTACTTAACTGCGGAGAAAAGGGAGGTCATGCGTTTTAATACATAAGTTCAATGTTGACATGTCAGTTGAGAGGAAAATTCTATAAAAATCAACGTTAATCTCGTGAAAATAGGACTTGAAGTCAGATAACAGGAACTCGTTATAGGATGTGGCGAGATTGACTGTCCAAGCGACATATGTATCGTCATGAGTTTACATGTAAATAACAGCTCATGTAAAGAGATTGTCCAGTCAACTGATGGTAGCGGTGACTGTCCAGGCGACACACGTACTTAGGTATCGTCATGAGCTAATGTTCACATGTAAACAGCAGCTCATGTAAAGAGATTGTCCAGTCAACTGATGGTAGCGGTGACTGTCCAGGCGACACACGTACTTAGGTATCGTCATGAGCTAATGTTCCCATGTAAACAGCAGCTCATGTAAAGAGATTATCCAGTCAACTGATGGTAACGAGGTTGACTTCTTAACCGTGGGTACTTAAGTTTCTTCTTTTAGGTACAAAGGGATATACATTTTTATTGAACCAAGAGAACTAGAAAGTACCTTAATTAATTGTTTTCAAAGCAAAACATTAGTTTTAATTAATAGTCTGAGAAATAAGAAAAATAAAGTAGGTACACAATAGTCCAATTACTTTCTATGTTTATTCATTAATGTATTTGTTTGTTATTTTGAACAACATAATTATAGAGATTAGCTTCGTAATCTTTCATGTAAGTATAGCTATAGTTAATTAAAAGTCACGCGTTTTTATCCCCATAAGTTTAGGCAGAGGTGCATTTTATGCCACTGGACAATGTAACCACATTTCACTATTTATGTTATGAGTCCCATGTAATAGGGGGTGAGCCTATTGCCATATACCGGGCACAATACCAGATTCCGTACTAATGTTGTTTTATTATTGTTGTTCTGGGTCTGGGTGTCATGTGTGAGTGAACTTGTATGTTTGTAAATAGCGTATTCCTTTTTAAAAGGCCGGCAACGCACCTGTGACTCCTCTGGTGTTGCGGGTGTCCATGGGCGGTGCTAATTGCTTACCATCAGGTGACTCGTCAGCTCGTTTACCTATTATTCCATAAAAAAATGCACCCACTACACAGGAGTCAATCCTAGTATGGGACAATGTTTAAAAAAACTCATTTCAAAAACCTTGACTCTGACTTTGAATTAAATGGCATAACAAGAAAAATTAACGACTTATCCGAAGATATAATACTGGTAACTTAGTAAGTAATCAAGTATCTGAGATGTACAATTATGTGTTTGTTCGTGAGACGGCTCGGGTATGCGTTTCTACAACGCTCCGATTGGTAAATGGGTTAGCTTCCGCTATCGTTACGAGTACGGTGGGAGTACCATCCCTCTGGAATTTATCACATTTTTCCTCATGTATTTTGTCGATATTTTCATGATATAATAATAACTAAACTAGATTTCATAATTTTTTCTAAGGATGAACTAGTGGCTCCATCGAGAGTTGGCTTATTTTTGGTTGGATCCCTTTTAAAGTAAATTACTCTCATCTCAAAGGCAACTAAATTGCTTTTTATACCACCTAAGTTCGTTACCAATTCATAAACTACTTGTATCATAACCTAACATCATCACGCCTTTTATCCCCGAAGGAGTAGACAGAGGTGCACATTGCGGCACTTAATGCCACTATACAATGTAACACCCACTTTTCACTATTTATGTTATGAGTCCCATGTAATAGGGGGTGAGCCACATTTCCAGACTCCGTGCTACTACTGAGATTTTTAAAAAACCCAGTAATACTTCACCTGCCCCGAGAATCGAACCCGAATCGAACTCGGCCAATGAGGCAGTGATATAATAATAATAAGCCTCTTATCCTGAACAGTGTTGTCGCATAGAATCTAACGGGTAACCGGGGCTCCGGCTCGACGTGCAGGAGAAGGAACGGGGTGGTTTTTAGTCAGTAAGAGTCTGACACTCTCTTCCGCCTCACCCAGGCGGGAGCAGTCATTCGATGATTTTCCCCCCTTAAAAAAAGGAGTGGGAGCTAGCTACGTCATTTTAGAGGTAAAAACGTAGGTAGATAGAAGTGACGTCACGCGATATTTCAAATCAATATAATATTGTTGAAAACATATTAAAACATGCCTAATGTTGAGTAGTCTACCAGAGAGACACTAGAATATAAAAATGTCATCTACCCCATTGGACCTTAGACCCTTATATTTAACAGTTGAACTTGCAGCCACTCAACCAATGACACACCTTGAATGAAAGTCATTTATTTCTCAGTACATGGTGCACACAGATCTTAAAATTAACAAAGTTCCACACATACTACCGTTAGGTACCGGTAAATATAAAATGTCGTGGTGGCCCGGAGGTTTAAGACGCCCACTTCTCATGCATGAGGGTGCGGGTTCGAAACCTACCAACGGCAAGTACCAATGTGACTTTTTCCGAGTTATATGTACTTTCTAAGATTATTTAGACACCACTGACAAACGGTGAAGGAAAAACATCGTGAGGAAACCTGGACTTTATAATTTCTAATTATAAGTTTGAAATCGCCAACCCGCATTGAGCAAGCGTGGTGATTAATGCTCTAACCTTCTCCGTGTGAGAAGAGGCTTTGCTCAGCAGTGGGCATTTATAGGCTGTTGATGATGATGAAATATAAAATTGTATTAACAGTATTAATTTATGTCGCATTAAAGAACAATTATATTGAAATTAGTATTATTATTATTGGAAACCATTCAAATAAATTAAAACAGGTAAAGTCAGAAAATAAATTAGAAATGTCATAAAATTAAGATGTCATCAAGAAGAAATTGTGTATCAGATAATATACTTAGTCAAATTGTATTATACTAAGTACAAACAAGCGTTCTTCTTTTTATGGCATAAGCCGGTAAACGAGCAGACGGATCACCTGATGGTAAGCAATCGGCGTCGCCCATGGACACCTGGAACACCAGAGGCGTTACAAGTGCGTTACCGGCTTTTTGGGGATTAGGAGTTTGAGGATCGATGGGGATTCAGGGATTGGGGAGATTGGGGAAGGGGAGGGTAATTGGGCCTCCGGTATCCTCACTCACACGACGAAACACAATGCAAGCGTTGCTTCACGTCGGTTTTCTGTGAAGCCGTGGTATCACTACGGTCGAGCCGGCCCATTCGTGCCGAAGCATGGCTCTCCCACACTTCTATATTCAAAAACAAAACCGTTACACTTTCCATAGACAACGATGCTTTTAGATTTTTTATCTTATACCATAAACAAGTACAACGGTTGTTTCCGTAGAAAAACTTTCATTGTCAACTAATTATAAAGCAAAAAGTTTTTAATTCAGTAATGCTTGTCTATGGTTTTGTGGGTAAGAAAGGGAAACTATGTCGTGTGCTTCTTTTTCTTTCGATGTATTAAAAGATAAAAGATAAAGTTAAGATAATGTGTCTTTTTACGAATGGATTTTCTTGCTCGTTCTTCTCCATTCGAATCTACATTTTGGATTGAGCACCTAGATTCACCTAGTTTCACTGACGGACTGACTATTATTTATTTTCAATTTGTTCACGTTTCAAAAGTACCAAATTATAGTTTAATTGAAATAAATGCGTTGACTTTGACTTTGCTCGTGCGCCACACGCTTTAACCTTTAAGTACCTATTGTAGTTACATTAGTACCGACGTGAGGACTGGCAGACCACCATCGTTTTAATTACGAAAACATTTTTGTTTCTTTATATTCTTCTAAAAAAAACCGTACTATTTATTGGTTATTTAACTACTAGCTTTCACCCGCGGCTTCGCTCGCGTCACAAAAGGATAAAAAGTAGCCTATGTGACATATATCAATACACACAGCGCCATCTATACCAATAGCGCGGAGAACCTAACGGGTAACCGGGGCTCCGGCTCGACGTGCAGGAGAAGGAACGGGGTGGTTTTTAGTCAGTAAGAGTCTGACACTCCCTTCCGCCTCACCCAGGCGGGAGCAGTCATTCGATGATTTTCCCCCCTTAAAAAAAAAAAAAATCTATACCAATACTTTTGTTTTCCTTCGGGAATATCAAATTTTTCCGGGATAAAAAGTACCCTATTATTTAATCCAGACTTCTAACTAACTTTTTGCAGCGGTAAGTCCCCTCTTTGAGGAGTGGCTTGAGAGACGCTACGGCGTCCTCACCTACCGCCTGACACAGATGCTTACCGGACACGGAAGTTTCGGTAGGTTCCTGTTTCGGATTGGGCGGGAGGAAACGGCTGGGTGTCATCACTGCGAGGATCGCCCGGAGGACACGGTGGAGCATACGGTGGCGGTGTGTCCTGCGTGGACTGAGCACCGCCGTGTCCTCAGGAATGTGATCGGCGACGGCGACCTCTCGCGTCCGAAAGGTCGAAATTAAAACTAGAGGAAAACGACAGCGTTTTCCTCTACTTTTAATAAATCCTTATCCTTACTAATATTATAAATCTGAAAGTGAGTTTGTTTGTTTGTTCCACCTTCACGCCGTAACTACTCAACCGATTGCTTTGAATTTTTGCAGACGTAAAGTAAGAAGTCCGGATTAAATAATAGGGTACTTTTTAACCCGGAAAAATTGATATTCCCGAGGAAAAACAAAAGTATTGGTACAGATGGCGCTGTGTGTGTTGATTGCGAGCGAGCGAAGCCGCGGGTAAAAGCTAGTCTTAAATAATAAGTAGGCAGACAACAGACAAACAAACTGTACCTCCTTTGAAAATTTCGTTTTTATACAAGTAAAACCGGTTTAAACATCAGCACGTTACCCTCAGAGAGGTAAAGCTAACATAACCCATTTTAGTATCAAATCATCGTCCCTCGCGATCGGATCAGAAAAGTGCATACTTGAAACACCACATATCTCCCGCAGTCTGTTGCTGGTCTGGCTTTAAACTGGCTTTTTTGAGTGAGGAAAATCATCCAGTGACTTCTCCGGCTTTGGGTGACGCGAGATTGCCAGGCTGCCTGGCTGTTACTGGCTAAAAACTACCCTGTTTCTACGCCCGCTTCGAGCCAGAGCCGAAACCGTTAGACGAAAAGTGACCCCATCATGTTTAATAATACCAGTGCAGAAACATTTGAAGATCTTATTGGAAAACAAGGTGTGAATATAATAAACTGGATTGTATAGGATCAGTGTTAGCTTTTATTTACGGAGTCACATCGTGGTGTCTATTAAAGGAGTTTCGAAACTTCAGCAACTATATCCTTCTTAGTGCAATAACAGCAGATATTATTATGCTGATGACGATAGCCTTTGAATCGTCGTTTATTGTAACAATTATAGAATGGGGTAGACGACTAATTTTTATTTTAATGTCCGTCTGGTAGATTATTTAAAAACATTAGACACGTATTTTTTATTTTCTTACGGAAACGAATAGTTTCGAAGATATATTGATTTGAAATGTCGCGTGACGTCACTTCTCAGTACATTTTATACTAAGAAATGACGTTTTAGCCCCCACTCCTAAACTTTGATTCGTTTTATCTAAGTATTGTTTTATTATACCTACGACAAAATAAAAAAATACGTGTCTAATATTTTTTCATTACCTAACTTACGGACTAATTATATTTTTAATTTTCATACCCTGTCATCATCCCCATTGAAGTACCCAGTGGCTCTTGCATTCGGTGTATTTGCGGTATTGTTCGGTATATTCTTATTCAACAATTGGTTGATAGTGTTGCGATATATATTTGATATAGATATCGTTAAAGTGTTCAGTGTAACTAGAACATACTTACCTAAAGAGCAGTATGTTTGCTTGGGGTTTCATTATCATAGTCTCCTTCGTTCATTTTATTATCGTATGGATATTTCAAGGCTATCTGATCGCTGACCCTGCAGACGCTTTAATGATTTATTTCGTTATTGCAACTTTAATACCTGTTTCATTATGTTTCGTTGTATATTTGAGGGTTCTATATTCACTATTCCGTACAAACAATGCTGCAACTACGTCGTCTGTTAATAAATGGTATCGCTCTAACATAGCCACTTTGATAATGTTAATATTAACTTTAAACTCATTTAAAGTGAATAATTTAATATGTAGTGTTGTAGCGGAATTGGGAATGTATGCTATAAGGATAGCGTTAATTATTTATATTGTAATAGCGAAGAGCAATCGTATATTGTGGCGAAGATATCTGGACAATAAATCTGATAAGACATGAAATGTATAAAATTGGTACATAATATAAAAATGATTTTTTTTATGCAAAAATAAAGGCTTTTGTAAACAAACTTTTATTAATGGTCATTCAAACTAAACGTTTATATAAAATTGCAGTTCACTCAGTTAAAGGTATCTGACCGCTTACTCTTGAAACCAATCTCAATGTCAATGCAATTTCAATCCAATAAGATCTCAATAATGATTCAATGCCAAAACTATACGACCCCAATCATGGCTGTTAAGATAGCATTCATAGCAATCCATACATAATATCACGCCTTTTTCCCCGAAGGGGTAGCCAGAGGTGCACATTATGCCACTGTACAATGGAGTACTGATAACACCCACTTTTCACTATTTATGTTATGAGTCCCATGTAATGGGGGGGCAGATTATTGTCATATACCGGGCACAATTCCAGACTCCGTGCTACCACTAAGATTTTTTTTAACTACCCCGTAGTACTTTGTCTGACTCGGGAATCGAACCCGAGACCCCTTGCCCGGCAGTCGCACTTGCGACCACTCGGCCAACGAGGCAGTCTATTAATTTATTAAAGTATTTCATATATCTTTTACACCCTTTTCTATTATTTCGGTTCACTGGTCGCCTCCTATAATCATAGCGCAAAGTTTTATAGCTTACTAGCTTTTACCCGTGACTTTGTCCGCGTATAATAATGACTTCTGGCTGAATTTAGGCTTTTCAATTAGTCTTTATCAAGGAATATTCTACGGCAACGAATGTCTTCGTACACTAGTATAGGGCTCCTCCCCTGTAGATGATAGCGTGATAATGTGAAGTCTATATGACCCGACTTGTTAGTAATATTCATGCAAAATTTTAGGAAAATCCATGCAGTACTTTTTGAGATAATCCCGGACATACAGACTAACAGACAAAATGTCTAAAAACCATATTTTTGGCTTCAGTGTGGCGACGCATGCCACATGTCAACTGATGACGTCACAAGAATCCTACATCGCACATGCAAAGTTTACAAGCAAATAAACACGGATAGAAAATCCCAACGAATAACTGTTGGGCAGAAAGCCCACCAGGCACGATCACCTCGCCTGGTCAGAGGATCCTCCTTTTCCGATCTTAGGGAACTTTACACTCTGTTCCCTAAAGTGGTGACCCCGACGTGATTGGAAGCAACTTTCACTTCACGGAGCAGATCAGCACCGTCATCCGTATCGCCATCCCTCTCATTCATCACTTCTCCGCTGAGCGGTAACCAAGTCGCAGCCAACCAGCATCCTCGGCCTCATCAGGGACCACCATTACCTGCAACGAAGTTGTGCAGCCTGGTTCTTCCCTACGGCCTCACCAGCGTCTAGGCACAGCACTTCTGCACACGGTCTGAAGGACACCTCCTCCCGTCAACGCAGATGCCAGCCACTACGCACCTACCCTCGCAGCATCTCTTCCCCGACTCACCGTGGGACACTGCGAACTCATCTCTCCGACTCACTGAAGTTTCACCCTGCACCGCTGACCCGACTCACTGGGCACTCAGCGGCACGGTTCCGACCCACTGGAACTAGGGACTTTCTACACTGGCTCTGGCACCGCTCGTCTCAAGCATCGACAGCCGTCTCAGCGGGATCGACCTCCGGTCTTGGGAGGGAGTGATGTGGCGACGCATGCCACATGTCAACTGATGACGTCACAAGAATCCTACATCGCACATGCAAAGTTTACAAGCAAATAAACACGGATAGAAAATCCCAACGAATAACTGTTGGGCAGAAAGCCCACCAGGCACGATCACCTCGCCTGGTCAGAGGATCCTCCTTTTCCGATCTTAGGGAACTATACTCTCTGTTCCCTAAATCAGTATCGATTGTAGATCACGCCACAAGTATTCTTTAAAAAAAAATATAATGTACAATTTTGATTTTTTTATAATTTAATTATAATTGGAATGATGACAGGGTGTGAAAGATTAAAATCTAATTAGTCCGTAAGTTAGATAATTAAAAAATATTAGACACGTATTTTTTAATTTTGTCGTATAATAAAACAGTACTTAGATAAAACAAATCAAAGTTTAGGAGTGGGGGCTAAAACATCATTTCTACGTATAAAATGTACATAGAAGTGACGTCACGCGACATTTCAAATCAATATATCGTCGAAAATATTCGTATCTGTAAG